TGGTACTAAGGAATCGAACCCAGGGCTTCATGCATGTGAGGCAAGCACTCTACCACTAAACCACATTCCCAGCCCTCTAGGAGACTCTTCAATTAACCATCAAAAAAGCCAGAAGTAGGAAGTAGCACTGTGGCTCAAAGTGGTAGAGCACTAGCCTTAGCAAAAAGAGCTCAAAGGACAGCACCTAGCTGTTCAAGGCCCATGACCATTTTAAAAAACAAAAAACCAGGCTCATGCACTGGTGGTTCACGCCTGTAATTTTAAGCTACTCAGGAGGCTGAGATCTGAGGATCATGGTTCAAAGCCAGTCCAGGCAAGAAGATTCCTGAGACTCTTATCTCCAATTAACCACCAGAAAACAGGAAGTAGTGGTGTGGCTCAAGTGGTAGAGTGCTCACCTTGAGCTGAAGAGCTGAGGGACAGTGCCCAGGCCCAGAGTTCAAGCCCCACGACTGACCTCCCTCCCCCTCCCCCCAAAAAAGAGCCAGAAGTGGAGATTTGGCTCAAGTGGTACACACATACACATAAAGACAATTCCTGACTAATAGAAGTCTGACACGAGGCTTGGGGCCTTCCGTGGTTCTAGTGTTACACAGTTAGGTGAGCGGGGTGTCTATTATTTAAGTTCTCAGGGAACCCGGATTTCAGTTCATGTTTTGGACCTTCTATTGTTCCTGTTCCAAAATCAAGCAGATGTGTGTCTTTTTTCCTCCCACAGGTAGACACCATGAGTGACAAAAGTGACCAAGACTGGACTGTGTGTGTGTGTGTGTGTGGGACCAGACTGGACACCAGGCCCAAGTAACTGAGCGTCTGACCACACAGATAGCCAGAGCCACAGAGGTTGCTGACAAAGACTTCCACCGCCATCACCCCGTGCAAAAGCTCACATGTCTGGACAAAGCCCTGCCCCCCGTGTCTGCTGCCCTGGCTTCCCAGCCTGGCCCTGGAACTCGAGCGAGCCGGTGCCAAGCCCGGAGGGCACGCCGCGCCCCCGCAGCCAGGGTGCTGACAAGGGCTCGCGGATTGTGCCCGCCTGAGCGGGTCTCTCGCCACTGTCTGCCCTGCGCCCGCCCTGACATGTGCGGTGCCCGCCTCGCCCCTCACTGCACTGGCATTTGTTACACCTCCCACCGGACCCGGACCTCCATGCGTCTCCGAGCCAGCCTGGAACTTTCCATTTCAGGGGAGGTTCCCAGTCCTAATCTGACAACTCAAAAGCAAAAACCTAGGAGAACTTCTAAAGAGCAGAGGAAGGGCTGGGAAGGTGGCTCAGTGGTAGAGCCCTTGCCTTGCATGCCTGAGGCCCTGGGTTCGATTCCTCAGCACCACATACGCAAAAAGAAAAAAGCTGGAAGTGGCGCTGTGGCTCAAGTGGTAGAGCGCTAGTCTGAAGAGCTGAGGGACACTGCCCAGGCCCAGAGT